CTAAGCTGGATAGCCATGCGCAAATATGAGAGCTATGCCATACACGTGACTATATGCAATAGGAAATATGTCAACAACCTAATAAATATTCAACAATTGAGACCGGAAAAACAAAGTCTTTAATGGTTCATTTTCATTCTCTACCTGTTCTTCGAGGTCGCGTGTAGGAATGGCAGATTGAAAGGGGAAGGCTAAATTTGAAGAGATATTTTTATCTTCGTTTCCCAAGTGTAGCCCAGAAACAAACCCAGAAGAGCACTTTGGTCTTCGCCTGTGCCGCAGGAAATGACCTCGAATTCGCTGTTTCCTGCAACAATTCTCCTTGATGTAAACAACGACGAATAAAACAAAATCACTCAGGAATACATTTACAAGGTTTAGTCACCGTTAAGAATTTTGCTGAACAATTTATGCATGCATATACCTCTGCGGGTAAGCAGAGATCTCAAAAATCCTGAGTAAAGTACTCTAAATATGTGAGGCTTGAGATGAGCAGAAACGACTACTGGGGGATGGGTTAAAAATTATTACAAAATATTGCAAGGGAAAGGATTGTTAAACCGAAATATAAAATATGTACATGATTTCGAGGCGTGATGTTGCAGCGTTTTTTTATACAAGGAAGTGATGTATTGTTAGTACGGACTTGATTTCTGTATTAAAATGAACAACCCATGTCCGATCGAGAGTTGTGCTGTTTACGTGTCACTGGGCCTCCTTATTGGAGAAAACTTGAAATATTTCGCCAGCAGCTGGACTTGTTATACTCATGTTCTTGACATCTCACCGGGTATTGGCGGTGTTGCATGAGAGCACCTTTTCTTTTTTTGTTTTTGGTATAAAATCCGTAATAAAACCGGCGTTTGTATGTGCAGCTGTACTAGGGCGAGTGAGTCCGGAGTGGACAAAATCGTAAGCCTGACAACCATTCTTCAAGACCGAGCACTGGTTTTTCCGGAGCCTCAGCCATCCTCCCTGGACGACACGAAAAGGCATTCTCGTCGACCTGCCCTTCAACTACGGACTCGCGCTGCCTTTCACCTGTGTGTATTTGTGTTCCTTGCGCGCCACCAACAACTTGTCCTGGGAAATGTATATAGAAGTTTTGAGGATATTTTTGAGAATCGAATGGACTTTTATGTCCGGCGGCGAGCGAGGCTTGGTAGAAAAGAGTAACGAAGGATCAGCAGTGCAGTCTGGGAATGTAAATATTCGCGTTTTCTTTTACTCGGAGTAGTAGCGGACACTTATTTAGAGTCGGACAGTACGCCTGCCAATAACGTCGATAAGTAGCCGGTACTGCTACTGACGGGCTCCGGGAGCCGGGCCGCGAAACCGCCGGCGTCCAGAAGCAGTTTGCACACTGTTGACGCGCGCGCTGTATTCACTGCTGGTATTGCAGTGGGCGCGGAGGGTTTTCTTTGGGAAAGATTTGTATCTGCTTGATGCCAACGTACTCCTGCAGCCTGTTTTTGTTTTCCAAGAACGACACTAGTTTTGCGTTCATGGTGGTGGCGCTATGCGGTCTGAGGCACACTGTGACAGTATCTGGGTGGACGAGTGAATCTAAGACTTTCGGAGGTTATGTTGCTCTGAAACTCGGGCGCCATGTAGTCAGAGCGCCCTTTGGCGATATCTGTCAGACTCGCGTAAGCCAGGTGAAAAAGTGACTCTAAGACTCTCAGCAGTTACGTTGCTCTGAAACCTGGCCTTGCCTCAAAAGAAGGGTCCGCACCGTTGTGAGCCTTTGATCGAGCCGTATCGAGTGCAAAACATGTTTTTCTAGCCTCGGTAAGCTAGCTAGCTCAAATATTTGGCGAAGCTGGCAAGTTTGAGCGTGTGAGATGCGGCCCCTTTTGTCTTCCTCCGTGGGGAGCGAGATGGCGGATATTTTGCGCGGGAACTTGCATCTTCCCCGCTCACAGACGCGCCTGCATGGCGGTTTCTTTCTATCCGCCCCTTCGAAGACCCCGTATCCCTTTACCTCGACTTCAGAAGACGGGCCAGCTACAGACTGTTATATGTTTTTAACCACTTATAGTCAACGGACTCTTCTGGTAACTATAAAACCGGGTATTCTAGGCAGCCTCTGTGTTAGCTGCCTGCGCAAAGGATTAAGAACTCGGCGTTTTTCCTAAAACCTCTCTCCCCGGTGTCTACATTAAGTGAACTCAATTAGTTTGCTTGGTATGTGGATACGTTTTCGAACGGAGGGGCCCCTTTTTATGGCTTCTTCTTCCGGTGTCGAATCGGGTCCCTCTGGCATGTTCCTGTCACCGTTGACAAACTGGTCACCTTTTTTGGGGTTTTGTTTGTCGTTTGCTCCCGCCCGTTTCTGCCGCCTTTGCGGCCCGGCAGGCGTGCGACGGTTGCGCGCGCCCCATCGTTTGGAGGCTGCGGCGCCCTTTCTTCCCTTTGGGGAGGTCTACGGCCGGCTCTGGTCGTGTTGGCTGCTGGCGCATTACGACTTCGCAGGTCTGCTCCGAGGTCGTCCACCCCCCTTCACCAGCCCACTGCAGCCAAGATGGCGCCGAACCCCCCGGGCGGCATGTCAGGGGCTTCCCCAGCTGGTCTCCCCAGGTGGGCGGCGGCCGTTGGCCTTTTTGGTGCTGCCGCCTTCACGACCGCCTGACTGCCCCCCACTGCACGCCAGCTCGTCGCGACACCTGGGTCCAGCGGCGTCAGCACGGTGCCTGTGATGCTCTGCGGTGCTGCGGCGACGACTGTCAAGTGCTTGGAACTTGAACTTCCCGGGTCTTCGGTCCTGCGAGCCAGCTGTTGACGGCGGACACTGTGAAGACGCGCGCTGGGTGTCGCGTGTATTTGTTGGGGGTGCACAGAGAGATATATTATTTATGAGAGCAGGTGGGCCTCCTTTATTCTTTATTGAGACCCACCTACCGTTTGAAGGAGGGGGGATGTGGGGATTCCTCTCGTCTCCCTTCCCCGATGGCTGCGATAACGGCCGCGGGTCGGAACGCTCGGCCGCCTTCGCCGTGAGCTCCGACCTGTTCGTGAGGCGGAGGGCCGCCTGGCTTGGGGGGCCCTCCTCTCACTCTCTCCCGGGGGGACCGATTTCCGTTCCCCCGCTCGGATGCGGATCACTGCTGACAGGCGAGGAGGTTTCGCCTCTTGTTTTCCCCCTTTGGGGAAAGGGACTCGTCCGGGTGACCACGAAAGAGATAGGACGTGTGTCGGCGACTTCTCCGATGCTTCCCCGGTCTTGGCTCTCCGGAACCCCGCGTCTGGCCAGGTAAAGACCTTTTCTTACCTTGCCGGCGCGGGGGGCGTTTTGGATGGGGACACATTAGTTCATTTTAAGAATGTTCTAATAAATGCTCTTGGACTCTGTCCTTACTCTGGTACGTGTGTCTTCTCTTCCGCTATATTCGAAAGAGTGAGACAAGGTAGATGATCATTGGCACCGACGGAGGTAATTAATCGAACCGACCCGCGGTAATGTAGCCCTAAACGTCGTCTACATTGCCGCGGAGATGTGGGGACCGCGCTACTAGGTTTGACGGCTCCTTTGAGATGTCGCCGCTGTTGAGACAACCCTTTGATTACTCTATCGGTACCTGTGTTGGTAGCTAGCAAAATCCCACAATCGCCATGCCTATTAATGCAAAAAAAAAAACATTGAAAGTTCAAACCATGTATACTTGGGATCAAGAATGATGATAGTGCTTGCTGTTCTGGTGTTCAGATCTCCGTAGAATAGAGAGCATCCGCCCATTTCAAGCGCCCACCTCCAAATTTTGTAACATGTAAAACAAATGTGCATAGTACACATACACATGTTACTGCGATGACCTGACAAGCATCCACCTATCAATTTGTTGTGATTATCCGCAAATATTGAGTGGGTGCTTGCTTCGTATTTTAAGGTAGTCTGCCACTTGAAATCGCGTTCTAGCACTCGGAATGTGGGACGAAGATCATCTATATGCTATATAGAAGCTGCGAACCAGGAAAAAAGATAGCCAGGGCTGAGACGATATACTCGAAAACCTACTCCGGAATGCAAATACTGAAATACATGTACTGCGAGGATAAAATACAGAAACAGATACAGCAGTCTTCACAAGTGCAGCAATAAAGTATTATAGATACGGATACTGAATTACTCGGCATTCCAAAAACTGCAAGATTGTGAACACTCATCGTATAATTACCGAATGTCAAATTAATTTTTTGCAAAGAGAAAGACATTAAGAAAGGATGCACATGCACACATTATGTATCTTTGATACGCCTGAAATGGCTGAACTAGGTCAGCAGTGGCACATTCCATTCAACCGGAAGTTTCACGGCCGCTGCCCTAGCACGTTTGATTCATCCCAGTTCTGGACGAGTTCAGACTCAGTTCCTGAAAACCTTGCACCGGCTCCGGAGACAGATCAGAGTTGGTGCAGAAACAGACGACACTCCTCGTCCGTCTCTGTTCGCAGTGTCATTTCTCAGAGCTCTTGCTCAAATGATTGCGATGTTTAACAATAACCTTGAGAAAGAGGTTTCATTTACTCCATCTGATGAAAATAATGTACCGTGGTGGATGCAGAACCGAGATCCTAACCGAGGGTAGGAATTCGCTCTATTATAATATTCTCAACGCGTTCGCGCAACTGCTTGTGCAGGTTTCGTTCCCTGTGGTAAGCGTTGAAAGATTGGCTCATATAAATTGTTTCTTTTTGATGTTACGTTATACTGTGCTCATATTGTTCCCAAGACAGGAAACGTGTCACACTCTTGATAGCCCTCGCTTTCAGTAGCTCTTTGATGCAGACTGACGACTCCGATACATTGCAGAAGTCTGTGATTGAAATGAAAGGAAATAACATCTTGATTTCCAGAAATTTAATGTGGCAGGCCTCCAGACAAAAAGCTACCATATGGTAACTTGACTGGGTCTGGGCCCCTAAAGCAAAACAAGCATAGCAATCTGGCTGAAAAGTGTTATACATTAAAAGGCCTCGTTATACAGCATATAGAGCTCCTCTTTACCAACTACGCATATACTTAAGTAAAAATAAACAGAGTAAAGAAGTGAGAGCGAAGGAACGTTCGGCAGCAAGTATATTATGCAAAAGTGAGAAAAAGAAAAATGTCATAAAGAGACATCCGTGATAGATAAAACACACATACGATTCAGCTGTGGTAAGCGAGTATATATCTATGTTTCCTAGATGGTACCTGTTGAGAAGAGTAGGTAACATATGGCGAAGGGATTGTAAAGCATGATTTGTGCGGAAGTGGGGAACATACCATATGTGAGAGCAGCGCATACTGATCGAGATTTCTTTTTTATTCAAGTCCGAGGTTCTCAAAAAAAATTCATTGAATTCATTTGTTCCGCAAAGGACAGCATACAAAAGGCGATACAGGTGCATATTTGTGCCAATAATCTTGATTTTTTGGAACAGCGGTTTAGTGTGGTATAGGTAATGTACATCCGCGATGATGCGTAGTATCTTTTCTTGAAGTAACAGTATTTTGTTTAAATTCGAAGTTGTTGTTTTACCCCACACGAGGTTAGAGTAATTTATATGAGACCTGAAAAGGGCATCAAACATAGTGAGTTTAATATTAACAGGCAATATAGTGCGGCATCTTCTAATAACGCCAATGACTCTGCACAACCTGCGGACCAAATTATCAATATGGCGATCCCACGACAGATGCTCAGAGAAAATTACGCCCAGCGTTGTGTGGTGCTTAACTATATCGATTACTGTACCACTTAAGGTAAGGGATTTAGTGAAGGGGGCGTGTTTATTCAACGACCGAAATACGGGTGCCTTAGTTTTGTTTACTTTAATTGTAAAGCAATTTACCTCAGACAATCTGCCACATTGCGCGAGAATATCGTTCCCCTTAATAACTAGGCTTTCTGCGTCTACGCCCGGCACAGATAGGCTGTTGTCGTTGGCAATCTGCGCAAGAGTACTGACCTTTACCACGTGGTTTATAAAAATGTTAAAGAGCAGAGGGCCCAGTATGCTACCCTGAGGCATGCCGGAAGCTACGGCTTCGAGGGCAGAACATCGCCCGTCGATGCTGGACACACTGCTGTCGATTGGAGAGATAAGAATCGAAGAGCGCGAGTGCTTGACCACGCATTTCATAACACTTTAATTCATCAAGAAGTATTTAATGATTGAGGCTGTCAAACGCCTTACTAAGATCAATACAAATACCTAGTGTTAAAAGCTTGTTTTGAATGTTATTTATATCTATTTTTTTCTGGAGTATGAGCGCTGACTTTGTGGGCCTTCCCTTTCTAAAACCAAATTGGGCGTCCGTTATTATTTCATGTCGTTGAAGGAAACTTTCTACGCTAGTTTTGACATGTGTTTCTAGTCCCTTAGAAAAAATTTGCAGGATGGATATTGGTCTATAGTTGGTCATTAGGTTCACATCAACTCCTTTGTGAATCACAGTAACTTTGGCAGGTTTCATATTTGCGGGGAACTCACCGGAAGCCAAGCTGAGGTTAAATATATGTGTGAGGTACGGTTTATTATGTAAATGACAAGCTGGACTGGTTTCATTCGAAAATCGCTAATATCACGACTGTTACTATTGTTGAGTCGCATGAATATTTTGTACACCTCAGATTCATTTTTTGGATTGAGAAAAAGGGGAGAGCTTGGGCTCTCTGTGATATATTTATCAGCATCTTCATAACAAAACGAATGATATTTCGCTCACTAATAATGGCGTTGTTATTCTAAAGGACTATTGTGCCTCCATTTTAAATGACATTTTCTAAAAGCGTTTTGTGTCGATAATGATTGCTTCCAACCTGTGTACCCTAATTATAACTTTTTGTCTATAGATCCTCGTGTAATTGACTATGACGGAATTGCAAAGTTGATTGATAACTTAAAACATCTTCGTCTTTTGGAGTTGACAATGCCACCTCCACACACCTTAAGAATATTAAAAATTGTATCGCAATTTACCTTTTCAAACTTTTTGAGCAATCTCTTGCATCTGATATATTGTCTGAAGATCGAAAAATATGGAAGGTGATTCCACTTCATAAAAATGGCGATAAACAAAGTCCTCTTAAATATGGCCCCATTTCCTTAATCAGCACACCCTGTAAACTTTTAAAGCACATAACATTCACTCATTTGGCTAACTACTTGAACTCTAATTCCTTCGTTTCTTCATCCCAACATGTCTTTCGTAGAATATTTTATGTGAGACTCAACTACTCACCTTCACTAATGATGTGCTTTCCATACTTGACCGTGGATCCCAGATTGACTGTGTTTTTTTCGATTTCCGCAAAGCTTTCGACCAAGTTCCTCATAAACGATTACTGTTTAAACTCAGTCAACTCAATCTCGATCCTAACGTGCTGTCTTGGATAACATGTTTCTTTTTCTAATCGTTCTCAGTTCGTTCATGCAAACAATGTAAACTCTTTTATGAGACCTGTTAATTCTGGTGTACCGGAAGGGTCTGTTCTGGGGCCTCTGTTGTTTTTAATTTACGTAAATGACTTACCACTGTGGGTACCACCATCTATTAACCTCTTCGCTGATGTTTGTGTAATTTATCGAGAAGTAACTAATACTACTGACATCCCCCTTCTTCAAAATTACTTACAAGCTGTGGCTGATTGGTGTGATTTGTGGCAAATGTCCCTTAATATTAACAAATGTAAAGCGATGAATATCTCCCGTCGAATCACTATATCTTCTATTTACTCAATTTTTAAAATTCCTCTTGTAACTGTACCATGCCACAAGTACCTTGGGGTGCACATCACTTCTAACATGACCTGGAAAACTCATACTGACCACATTATAGCCAGCGCTAACTCCACGCTGGGATACCTAATGAGAAACTTTAGGTTAGCCCCAGTGTCCCTAAAACTACTAATGAATAAAACCCTTGTCAGTTCCAAACTAGACTATGCTGCAGCAATCTGGGATCCCGGTCTTTCAACTCTCGTGACTGATCGTGAAGCCCTACAGAATCGCGGTGCCCGTTTTATATTTACTAACTATAATGGCACATCTAGTGTCTCATCTATGAAAACTAATTTATCACTTCCTGCTCTTTCATTATGCCAAAATATCTCGTTTGTGTCTTCTTTTATAAAATTTATCATTTCAAAAAACAAACTATCGTAGAATCCTGTTTTCATCTCGCCGCTCCTAGATCACTAATTTAAAGTCGGAATTCCTCATTGCATCACCTCAGCCTACTATAACTATTTTGTTCCAAGAACATCTTCGGAGTGGAATCGCCTTCCAGTGCAATTAGTAAACATACCGTCCTTTGACTTGTTTAAAAGTGCGGTGACTGCTTACTTGTGTTAATATTTTCCTTTGTTTGTTTGTCTTGTTATGTAAATTTCTTAGCTTGTTTTCCAGTTTTTTAAACATTTTTAGTGCTTGGCTTCTACTGTTTGTACATTGTTTTTATTTCAAATTTGTCTTGTACCACTCCCCGATGTAATGTCCTAGGGCCTTTAGGGTAGTGAAATAAATAAATAAATAAAAAAAAATATGTGCTTGACACGAGATTTACCAACCAGGGATTGAAACATTCTGCCAGTGGCACACCGGATAGCTTTCGGTCATTGATCAGTAGCCCCCATTTTATCGTTACGTGTTCCAAGCTGGAGAACCTCATTTATAGATTTTCATATTACAGCAGGAGAATATTTTGATTTACATCTTAAGAGGTTTGCATGATACTGTGCTGTTGCTCGTTCTAGTATAGAGTTTAATTTATTTCGATATTTTTTGAATGAGGCTAAATTGTCTGGGTGTCTTTAGGAAATTAACAATTTTGAACAATATACTCTTTCTTCTAATCATTTTGATTTCATGAATTCTGATCCAAGGTTTTTGTGATTTTCTTGACCGAGATACTAATTTATACGAAAAACATTTATAATATCACTTCTTGAACAAGTCATAAAATGGATCGTAGGCATTATTTATGTTGGATTGTAATGTCACAGATGTCCAGTCGAGAGCACATATTTTGTTCCTAAAATGCAGCAAGCCGTGTTCTGTTAATGGTTGGAAAGAAAAAAAAAACGTTTGATTTCGCTCTTGACTTCAAATCACAGCAACGAAAGGAGACAAAAATAGGAATATGGTCGCTGATGCTTCAACTGATTGTACCAGATGCAGTATGTCTTTGGCCCATATTTGTAATGAAGAGATCCAGTACGCTTACACTTTCAAGAGTAGTTCTTGTGGGTGACCAAATCAGATTCGCATATCCGAAAGAGCTCAGATCATTGCTCAATCTGGTCCCAGCATGTGAAGGTTCCATCATATTAGTATTAAAGTCGCCACTAAGAACGATAGAAAATTTATTTGTTGATGCAAATTCCAAATAACTATCCAGAAAGCATAGAGACCTTGCGACGTTGTCCGACGGCGGACGATCCACGACAGAGAAAAGCTGACTGCCACTAGTTAATGTTAAAATATCGTAGTCTTCATTCATCTCAGTCAGGCAGCCCAGTACTTGGTAAGTTTCGCGTTGCTCTGCATAAATGGCGACATCGCCACCCCTCCGACAGATTCGAGTTAAGAAAAAATATTGGTACCCAGGCAAATTCAGCACGGGCTGTTCATCTTGGTACCACGTCTCTGAAAACATTATAACATCAAAAGCAACATCGCAGTCATCCAGAAGTGTGGACACATCGTCCTCCTTATTTTCTTAGGGAACGCACATTAAGATGGCAAACAGTAACATCTTTTAGATTTGTTTGCTCCTTAACGTCTGATGACGGAATTATTTCATGACACTGCAGAGCACTAGAGGCGTGCGCTTAATTTACCCCTTGTGCAGTAGGCACGATGTAGGCGCTGCGAAGCGGCGGATTGCAGTCCTCTTAGCGTTTTCGCCAGCTTTGCACCTGCTGCACGATAGGAACATTTATTTTAGCTCACCACCGTGTTTCGCACGTGCTTCTAGTTCATCAAACATGACTGATTAGGTTTTTTTCTTATTAAACTCAGCAAATTCATATTCAGAACGACATGTTTATTTTCACTAGTTCAAATTTGATTAAGATCGAACTTAAGCAACATAATTTGCTATTTCTTACAGCCCTAACGTCCGCCTTGTCTGGCATCTAGTTCACAAAAACACACTTTCTCAAGCACCATATTTTAGGAATGCGTAAAAATTTTGCAGACGCACCCTCGGAATAGCTGTTTCCGAATTCATAAAAAAAAAAAACAAAAAAAAAAACAACGAAAAACATTGGCCGTTAAAGTTCTTGTTGAAGCTCATCATAACATCTGAATTTAGATCTACCATAAAAAAAAAAAGTATTTTACAGATAAGTTTCGACATCGTACAGGGCATTGTTCTTGACGAACATGGCCACCCCAGTTTAATTTCAAATTTCAGACCATTGACAAAAGGAATCTTACCGCTTATCTCTTCAAAGGATCATAAGGTGAAAAGGTCTTTCGGGACACGACAGAAGCCGCTGTTCCGGTTTCCAGTTTGCGCCTTACTATTTGTGCTTTTTATAGTAAAAAGGAGCTGTGTTTTGTTTGTAAGAGTGAATGCCGTGAGCCATGGAGATTTCATAGAAGGGGGAAAAGGAGGCGCGCAGTTGAAGCCTTTATAGTTTACCCCTTATCATTGCACGCAGTGGTGCCGCGAAGTGTGCAGATGAATATGGTGGGATGATTACCAGCATCTAGCGACTACGTCTAGGTGT